GCTCTGTCTCAAAAAAAAAAAAAAATAGCTGGGCATTATGGTGGGCACCTGTGGTCCCAGCTACTTGGAAGGCTGAGGCAAAAGAATCACCTAAGCCCAAGAGCTGGAGGTTGCTGTGAGCTGTGATGCTACAGCATTCTACCGAGGGCAACAAAGTGAGACTGTCTCTTAAAAAAAAAAAGAAAGAAAAAGAAACCTTAAAGGACTCTGATAATTTATTCAGTAATTGTTCATTATGAATTAATAAAAACAATGGAACTGTCCTACTGATCCTGTGACATCCCTGTGTTTGGACTGGGTTATAAAGAAGTACTATTAATTTTTGCTTAAAACTCTACAAGTACCCCCCAACAAACAAACAAACAAACAAACAAACAAAAAAACCTCTACAAGTACCAAGATTCGGAACTCCATATTATACTGCATTTATTTATTTTTCTTTTTTGAGACAGTCTCACTCCATAACCCTTGGTAGGGTGCCCTGGCATTATAGCTCACAGCAACCTCAAACTTTTGGGCTCATGCCATCCTCTTGACTCAGTCTCCCAAGTAGCTGAGACTATAAGTGCCCAGTTAGTATTTTTATTTTTAGGAGAGACCAGGTCTCACTCTTGCTCAGGCTGGTCTACAACTCCTGAGCTCAAACAATCCACCTTCCTCGGCCTCCCAGGCATGAACCACTGTACCTGGATTGCATTTCTGTTTTATACTCACTTGAGCTACTAAATTATAAGACACAAAAAGACAAGTTTAAGGAGAAGGATCAGCTAGCGACTGATTTACAGATTGTGGTTCTACCCATGGTGAAAGGAAGTTATTAGATACCATCATACATACAGCCCTCCCTTGAATAAACCGATTGGTATATAGGATCCAGCTTAAGAACTTATTCAGGAAATCTCTGGATTTTCCCCCTTGCCTAGCCTCTGTGAAGGCAGAAATCACTTCTCGAGTGGTTTGCCTTATTTACCTTTGTATGTATAGCATTTTGCAATGCGTATGGTGTATAGTAGGTGTTCAGTAAGTATTTATCGAGTGAATATGTTAAAAAACTTGTATCTGATTCTGATTCATCAGTATACATGAAATATAAAATGTATAAAAAGTGGTCACTGGTTTTATTATTGAAGCATGTGTTTTGTAGACGGAAAATATCACAAGCAAATTAAAATAGAAGAGAATGCAACAGGGTTCAGTTATGAGTCACTTTTTCAAGAATACCTTAATGAGACAGTTACAGAAGTTTGGATAGAAGATCCTTATATTAGACAAATTCATCAGGTATGTGAAATGTACTAACATACAAGGAAATACTATTTTAAATGTAATAATAGTAATAGTAGTTAGTAATAATCAATCTTACTGTCTTTCAGCTGCATAACTTTCTTCGATTTTGTGAGATACTTATTAAGAGATCATCTAAAGTAAAAATCATTCACCTTCTCACTTCTCTGGATAAAGTAGGTATCTGAAAGCTCCTACTCCTTTTTCACTTACGAGCTTTATTCAGATACAAGATGTAGGTCAATCATGGAAAACCTGGAGGTAATGCTTCAGCTAGATTTATTTCTCTACACACTAACTTATTACCTAATAATAGGCATTGCACATTGGTTTTAGGATATTAACCTTATATTTGGCCATTTTGTTAAATGCTATTGTAAGTTTAGCTCAAACAGTTTGTCAGTTTAATCTCTCGGATGTTCTATAAAGCGATCACACTTTGTGCACTATTTACAATTTTGTCCCTATCAATTATTATATATCTGGGAGATAGTAGCATGATATAATACTGGGCATCTGTATCTTGATTTTGATAACAAAAATGCTTTGAAGTGTAATTATGACTTCAAGGATTAATTTGAGAAGATGGCAGTCCCACTTGGATAACTAAACATCATTACTAAAATATGTGTAAAGAGAGAGGGCAGAGTTGTGTTATGTTTACATTAGACCAAAAAAAAAAAAAAACAGTGATTTTGATAAAAATGTCTCTTAAACTACTTCATGTTCTTTGGTTGCTTCTTTGAGATGATTAACTTTGAAACTAGTATAGAACATTTTCATTTTAATTCACCTATGGTATATACTGTATAGGTTAGAAATATTTAAAATATTAATAACAGAGGAAGCAAATTATATTTTTGCTATTAATAGGGCAATGGGAAAGAACAGCAAATTAGGGGCCTGGAAGAAATAAAAGAGTCACTCAAGAATCATGAAGTGCTGTTGGAAGTAGAATATTCTCCCTCAATACATGACCGAGAAATTAGGTAAGTATATAATAATAATTTTTGTGCAGTTGATATATACTTTTAAAATTTCCCAGTGGCACCCAAAGCTAAGTGGGTAGGGTGGGTTCAAACCCAGCCTGGGCCAGCTAAAACAACAATGACAACTGCAACAATAAAAAAAAAGAAAATAGCTGGGTGTTGTGGTGGGTACCTGTACTCTCAGCTACTTGGGAGGCTGAGGCAAGAGAATCAATCACTTTAAACCCAAGTGTTTGAGGTTGCTGTGAGCTGTGACGCCATGGCACTTTACCCAGGGCGAAAGCTTTAGACTTGTCTCAAAAAAAAAAAAAAAAAAATTTCCCTCAATAAGTTGTATATAATTAAATATATATTACATTTAAATATTTAAAATTCAAGTAAGACTCAATTTTAATAATGTTTCACTTTTGAGAAGAAAAAAGCTTACTTTGTCCTGTGTGTGAAAATGTAATATTTCTTTCTTCCTTTTTTTTTTTTGAGACAGAATCTCCAAATCCCTTCCTGGGTAGAGGGGGTTGTAGCATCTTAGCTCACAGCAAACTCTTAGGCTCAAGCAATCCCCTTGCCTCAGCCTCTTGATAGCTGGGACTACAGGCACCTGCCACATCTCTTTTTAGTAGAGACAGAGTCTAACTCATGCTCAGGCTGGTCTCAAACTCCTGAGCTCAAGCATTCTACCCACCTCAGCCTCCCAGAGTGGTAGGATTATGGGCATGAGCCACCACACTTACCTAGTATTTCTTATGGAATAAAATTTACATGTTTTGTGTCATGTAGGAAGGGTGGGTACTTTTCGGTCTACTCAACATACATATGATGTTATGATCTTGGGATAATGTTTAGTGAAATTAATATTTACTTAATGTGGTTTTATTTCTTATGGGTTATTAAATATCCTAGTTGGCATGATAATATGTTGAGTCTATTAAGTATATGTAGTTATTTTAGTGATATCTTCCCTTTGTTTAGCACAGCAGTTTTCATATGTTTATAGCAAGAGTCCCCTCAGCTTTAATGAAAACTTAAGTACAACCTAAATATGCAAAATAGGTGAGGTCAGGGTCCACGGCTTTTCCTGCTCATATTCCCCATCTCTGTAGGGCAATCCTGAAACACCATCTGTCTCCCTGAATGAATACACTTTGTAACCACTTCTTAGCAGAACAGGAAAGTTTTATCAACAAGCTGAAGTTCAAGAGTAAATTTTAATTTTAAACTATCAGCTAATGGAATGAACTCATTGTTTCTATTTGTTTGTTTCATTATAGACACAACCCATGGTTAACCCTTTAACTCCATTTTTGATTCACCTCATGCCACTGGAGGAAGTGGTTTTCTTTGTTGGGGGGAATTTTGCTGACACTTAATATCCTATAGTTTTTATAACTAACTTAAATGTCTTAAATATAATATTATATACTAATTTCAATAGGTTCAACAATGGATGGATAATTAAGATTGGAAGAGGACTTGATTATTTTAAGAGAACACAGGTAGGATGTAATTTTATGAGTAAATGTATTATGCTGTTTTTATATCCTTTTTAATAATACTCTTTTCTTCTTTTCTTAGGGTCGTTTTTCCCTTGGATATTTTGATTTTGATTTACGACCATGTCATGAAACAACAGTGGACATTTTTCATAACAGACACACAAAAAAAATTTGATGGGTAGTAGCCTAATTTATCTTATGTATTTCTACATTAAGTGATTATTAGATTTTTACTATGTTGAACAGATCATTTTTTATAATATACAAATTTCACAATAAACTTTTACATTTCTACTAATTTATGGATCTATTGTTCATTTGTGGAAACAATACTAAATATTTCTATAAATATGAATATATTATTCAGATTTACACTGTTGCATGTCGTACAGGTAATTTAAACATTTTATCAACTTTTATTTGGCTTTTGGAACATAAGTCAACAATTCATGAGCCTCTTTTTTTTTTTTTTGAGACAGAGTCTCACTATGTCGCCTTCAGTAGAGTGCTGTAGCGTCACAGCTCATAGCAACCTCAAACTCTTTGGGCTTAAGCAATTCTCCTGCCTCAGCCTCCCAAGTAGCTGGGACTACAGGCACCTGCCACAACACCCGGCTATTTTTTGCCTGTAGTTGTCGTTGCTGTTTGGCAGCCCTGGGTTGGGATCTAACATACCACCTCTGGTGTATGTGGCTGGCGCCCTAGCCACTTGAGCCTCTCTTATGAAGATGAGTTGAATTTTAACTTTGCCCTTGGGTGTTTTAAGTCTAGGAAGGAAAATCATCATGGATTAGTATTCTCTTAACAGACAGATTGACTTGTAGGTCTAATAACCAGGAAAAAACCAAGTAAGATAATTGTCTTTGGCAGACATTTAACCAACATTCAGTTGTCTAATATTACCTAACTCCATAAAGGCAAATTAAGCCATTTAGTTTTCCAGATGCATTTTGCAGCTCATTCACTTTGGCTGGCACTTTTGGGAAGTCTAGTAGCTTAGAATCCAGTGTTCTAGGTAAGCTCATCTATCCAGATGCAAATTAAGTGGTTGGGGACAAAAAATAGGCTCCATGAAGACAGGTTGAAAAGGAGGACAAATGCTGGAGGTAGTGGGCAGTCCATATGCTTAAAGAACAAGCTAAGCCCAAGTCTGTAAGAGGAAAAATGAGGTACTAGTATTCAGTATTAGAGAGTGCATATACAAACATCAGATCTGGAGATTTTCAAGCAGAGTTAGATGGCGTGGATGCTATGGGAACACAGTTGGACAGAGTGGTCCTGGGCGGTCTTGGACTTTAGGTTTATGCTTTGCCTTTGTGGACCAGGAGGGACAAGATTGAGTTGGCATGAAAAACTGGGAAGGTCTTTGAGAACAGTTCCTGATGTTTGTCTTGGACGTTTTCAGGTTTAGGTGTTGATGATGCTAAATCTGAAAAATTTTAGACCAGCTTTTATTTATTTTAGATAAGCTTTACTGTATGAAAATTTAGGGTCTCAGAAGAGCACCTGGACAAGTGTAGGGCTTGATTGAAAGTTCCTTTCTGCAGAATATCTTAGGATGTGTTACACCTCTTCACATTCATGTTAAGATAACAATTCTCATTTCAAGAGCATATGAATTTGTCACTACAGAAAATCAGCAATTCATAACCCTGTGAAGTTAACTTTTATCCAGTCCTAAAAATCCTGGTTAAGACATAATGATATTCAAGGAAAACAGTCTATAGCCTAGCTATCTATTCTAGATATTTGGAGTTCTAGCCCCAGGTCAAATTTGAGGACCAGAAGACTACCAGGTACAGGTTTAAAGATATCAAGAAATGGAAAAAAACAGCATTAGTCTCTACCTTACTCCACACAAAGAAACAATTCTAACTGGATTGAAGGGCTAATTAAATAATTAAAAATATAATTAAAAATCCATTTTTAAAAAAACTCCACTAAATAAGCATAACATAAAACCCATGAACTGTCAAGGAAAGGAAAGAATGAAAGTTATGATCATGTAAATATTTAAAATTTGAGTAAAGAGAACCATAAAGAAAGTTAAAAAACACAAGAGATCAAATTTACAACATACAGAAAAGTTAATATTCTTAATACTAAGTATGACTTTTGGCAGTGATCTTGAGCTGACTTCCCCCCTCCACTTGGTTGTTAGAGCAATCTCTCCTGCTCTCCAGCATCGTTCCTGTCAGCCAGATGCCACCCTATTTGTTCTCCCTCATCAACAAACTTTTTGAAAGAGTTCTCTCTATGCAGGCTTTTCCCATTTCCTCACTTCCTAGTCACATTCCAACATACTTTAATCTGGCTACTGCCCCAATTGCTCTACTGAAATTGCTTAAGGTCAACAATGACACACACACAACCGCCAGTACCATCATATCCAACTAACCTCTTCTAATATTCGTATTACTTGACTTTTCAGGAGCATTTGACCCAGTTGGCTGCTCCCTTCTTGAAACTCAGCTTTCATGAAATATACTTTTCTTCTTCATCCTACCTTTTAAATGCTGGAGTTCCTTTTACTAGGTAGTAACTTTTTTTTTCTTCCGTTTGCACACAGAGTCAGTGGTTCTCAACCTTCCTAATGATGAGGCCCTTAATACAGTTCTTGTGGGTTGCGACCCATAGGTTGAGAACCACTGCACTAAGTGATTATACCAGTAAATGCTCTTAGTAAAAAGCAACGAAAACTCCTGCCTGATGTAAGTAAAAGGGGGATTTGTTATAAGGATAATAGCAGATCACAGTGCAGAAGTAATCAGATCATACCCTTGCTGATGCAGACATGAGAGTTGGATGCGGCAGCCTGCATCACTTACATCACCGACACTACCACTGCCTGTCTCACTGCCTTTGTTACCCCAGAAATTCAGGCTCCTAGCACTACCGTTAGGGAAGGTTCTCACCATCCCAGATTTTCTGTATCACTAGCTTCTAATTCAAAGTGTGGAGGAGATGCACATGGTTGGTGGACCCTAGGTCATACGCCTATGCCCTCGCTTCAAGGGAGGCCAAGAAAACATGTAGTGAAACTTGTTCCCATGGGACGTGTGCTCTACCTCTTACCAAGTCTTATGAGGTAGAGAATTCATCAGGCATAGGGAACTCAGATGCTAAATGGTTTAAATTTTAAATTAATTACAAAAAGTCCAAAATTATCCATTCTCATGACTTAAAATACTCTGTATGTGCTGTCAACTTTCAAATTTACAAATCAAGCCAAGACTTCTCCTTAGAGTTCTAATTCAGTGGCCTATTTGACATTTTATATGGCATCTCAGAAGCACACAAACATTTCAAATACTCAAATAAGAGTCATTTTGACTCCTCTCTCATCCCCGTATGCAAACATTTAAAAAGGTCTGTGAAATCTACCTGCAAATTATACCTTGAATTTGTTCCAGGTGTTGCTTCCTCACATTTCCTTTTTTGGAACTTGGAGCCGTTAACACCCTTCACTTGATGATGTCCTCACTCTAATTGGTATTACTGCACCAAAGCACATTGTATTCATACTTTTCTCAGAAAATAATTTTCATGTGTTACAAGCTTAATGCTTAAAAATGTGTCCATGATAAATTTCAAAATTGTGGTTACTTTATACTTAATATTGCTGCTAAGAAACAAAAGCACCTGTCCATTAAACCTGCCTCAAATGAACAGCTTAACTGACAATCATGTTTATTCCAGAAGCAACTTAGAAAATAAAATCCCTTTCACTTAACTCTACCCAATTCTTGGGATAACCAGTTGTAGGCAAAACCCCATGTGCCTATTCCTGCTGTTCCTAAAAAAGAAAAAAGAAAAAAAGAGGAAAAGGAATGATCCATTCTGACATATGAAGATAAATCATAAAAAAAGGACTGAAATCAATTTGGTAATATTTGAATACTGTATTACATTGTTTCAGGCAGAGGTCTCCCAGGGTCCTGAAACCCCTGTGTTTCAGTCTCAGTTATGCTTCCCTCTCCTGTCAAGAGCGTATGTTGAAGTTCTTACCCCTAATACCTCAAAATGTAACCCCATTAGGAAATGAGGTCTTTATGGTGGATCCCAATCCAATATGATGGCGTCCTTACATGAACAAAAAATTTGGACACAGGTATGCGTGCATACAGAGGGAAGATCACGTGAGGACACAGGAACGTGGCTGTCTGCAAGCCAAGGAGAGGTCTCAGAAGAAACCAGATCTGCCGGCACCTTGATCTTAGACGTCCAGCCTCCAGAACTGAGAAATGTCTAGGAGTGTGTTATGGCATCTCTACAACGTTTATACACACTGCCTTTGTTTCCCTTTTAAAATAACCAAAAGTAAGCCCTGCCCTGAAAACAGGAGTTATTCCTAATTTTCGACAAGTGCCTAATACGCTGTCTACTTTCTATAGCTATTGCCAACACCATCTATCTCTTGCTTGAACTCCTACAGTAGCATTTCAACTAGCTCTCTGCTTCCTATTTTGCCTCCTCACAACAGCCAGAATCATCTTCATAAAAATACATTCTCATTGCACTTAAAACCAAGCTCTACTTTGGGCTTATCAGTCTTTACATGATCTGGTCTCTGCTTAATGCTCTTTGTCTTGCTGCATTCTCACCTTTTACTTGCATCTGCCTTTACTTCCTTCAATATGCCTAGATCCCTGCTTTAGGGCGTTCCTGCATGCTGTTTGTGTGGCAAATTTTACCTTACCAAAATGGTTACCATAAAATCTCCCATTCCTGAAGCTCTTCTCATAATGACTTTGACATCTCTCCCATGGAAATGCAGGTTATTTATGTTCCCTCCTGTTGAATTTCAATGCACTTATTCCAACAGAGGTGATACTATGTTAATTCTAGGGCTAAGTCATAAAAGGAAACATAGTTTCTGCTTTGCTTTCTTGGGTCACTCTCTCTGGGGAATCTAGCCACTGTGATGTGAGGAAGTCCAGGCAGCCCAAGTGGAAAGGAACCAAAGCCCTTAGCCCACAGCCCCAGCTGAACCCATAGCCCAGGTGAGCTCCCAGCCAACTCCCATCACTAATGCACCAAGCCATGTAGGTAAGGCCATATAAGGAGTGGATATTTCTGGCCCCAGTTAAACTGTTCTAGCTAATGCTGTTGAATCAGATGGCTCATAAGATCTATTTTATTTATTAGGTATACATGAATGTGTGGGTGTGTGCTGTGGCACAATGTACTATCAATATATTTTTCACTCTAATTTACTTTTTAAAAAGTTTAAAGCTATTACATTGTCAATTACTGACATCAGGGACTATGTCTCCTTCACACACCATGCACATCTAGCTATTAGCACAGTTCCTGGCACACAGCAGGCACTGAATACATAGTAAGTACTCCAGAAATGAGTATATGAATGAATGGTAGGTATAGGAAATGGCTAACAGTGATGTTACTGTGAAGAAGTGTGGCAATGAATAATGGAGAGAAAAGGAATCTTGAGCAGGAGAGTTTTGTGAAAGGGGAGATCTTAGTATGTTCATTCACTATGTTTAAGGATCCAATAAAAGTGGAGATAGGAAAAAAAAGTGCAAGATAAGGAAGCTATATAAATGATGGTGCAAGGCCCAAACACAGGCAAGAGAGGACAAAATCCAAGGTAACTAAGTGGATTAGTGTCAAGGAACGGGAGATCTCTCCCTCTCTGATACTGAATGAAAAAAGAAATGTTCAAGTAGAGAACACAGTGGCGAGAGGTGTTTATTTCTGAAGGCCTCAGATCTCAACAAATTCTAAATCAAGGTTTGTGACAAGAGTAATGGAATTCTAAGCTTGGGAAGAGTGAAACATTTAGGAATAAGCCCTCTCAAGAATAAGAGGAATTCAACCAGCGATTAACTGAATCTGACACCAACAGAAAGAAGATACATAAATTGAAAATGATAAATATGAAATTGGGCTAATCTGCATGATATATGTTTTTTCTCCCCTAGCACTGCCTGCTGGAAAGATTAAGACATCAACTGCTTACATCAAAATTAAAAAGTGGTGCCAGGCTTGGTGGTTCACCCCTGTAATCCTAGCACTCTGGGAGAGAACAGTAGTCCCAGCAACTCATGAGGCTGAAACAGGAGGGCCACTTCACCAGGAGTCTGAGGTTGCAGTGAGCTATGATGATGCCACTGAACCCTACCTAGGGTCATAGAGGAAGACTCTGTCAAAAACAACAACAATAACAACAACCACCAGAAAGTGGCTATTATAGAAGGCCACGTGAGGGAATCAAAGGGAAATATTTGCGGTATATTTACAGTATATTCAGCCTGGGGTAGAAAGAAAATGAAGCAAGGGGAAAATGAGGAAGGGTTGAGGGCTTAGAAAAGTGCATTGGGCTTGATT